TATATTCCGTATTTGGATAAATGGGCGGACCGAAATAAACAATTTCAACCAATCAAATGTTCATATTTTTGGAGCCACGAAACTGAGTCACTCGCGTCGACTAGTTAGGCCATAGGTCCATGGTTAGGCATGACTAAGTTTAAATAGTCTTCTCTAATAAAACGGGCCTAAAATATTTAGAATAGACCCTAGTAAGACTAATGTTGGCAATGGCAAAAACAATTAAGCTTAGACTAGATGGCATACCATACAAATACAACAAAACTTTAACTTTCCAGTAGGATGGCTCAGGCCTCCTAGCCTAGACAAGTAGAGGCTTGGCCTATTTTTAAGTTCTTACTTACAGAGGCCTACCTTTTTAACAATATTCTACCCTAAAGGCTTAAATCTGTGTAGCAGCTAGTGGTGAGCAAGGTTCCAAGTATGCCTATAACCTACGGTTATCAGTCCATGTCGTTCTCAGCAGGCCAGAACTATAATTATACTAACTGTTTTAATTCAAGTAGGTAGCCAAACGGGAGCTGGAGATTGTTCTAGTCGAGACATCCGCATCTTCAATTTTGAAAATTTACCAAGATTGATTAATATGCATGAAGTTAGCCAATCACGTGATTTACAAAATCAGTCATGCATACGATATCCCACATCAAATTTGATGTGGGAAATCGTACGCATGAATCGTTTGCCCAGGCCCTAATTCGAAAAAAAAGAAATCGAGTATGGGACGCCAATTAAATTAGGTATGGTGCGCACTAAGTGCAATAAAGAGTGAGTAAACTAAAATTAGGGCCTGGAACCCAGGCTATACAGAGTAGAGTAGTAGACAAATATAAACCAACTCAGATGTTTTAATCCAATTTACGCCAACAATTTATTAGTACACAGTTATTTCCTTCACAAAGATTTTTTTTATAAAAGTTTTATTTCATTAAAAACTATAAATTTTGTTGTTTACTGCCATTTGTGAAGCTTCTATCAACAAAATCGTAGGCTAGTTTACCAACATTTTAACTATTGATGTCCTTTTGATATTGATATCTTCCCCCCTTTTTCAGCTTTAATATTTAGACATATTTTTCAATAGATGTAGATAATACTTCATGTTGAGAATCATTTTTTTTTATTCAATTTTTCAAACTAATTTTTCTTACGATATTTCGTGATTGAGAATTTTATGGTTTTTATCTTGCTGCTACACGTTCTTTTTGACTTTTTGTACTGGGCCATATACAGAACGTAAGCAAACAACTGTAGGATTTTCAGTAAACAGAATATAGAAATACAAAAATAAATAAAATTAAAAGAATAGCATAAAGGTTAAAAGACATGCTTAAAATTACTTTCACATTGTTAACAAATAAATTAAATAAAATGTAATAATGAAAATGAAAAAAAACCCAAACAAATAAAAAATATAAAATAAAAAACACAGAAAAGTTCGAACAATTGGTATCATCAATATCAATATTTCAAGTTAATTGGTATCAATTTAATTGTGTTAAGCTGGTTAGGTGAGTGCTAGAAGTAATCTGATAAGTATTTCTCATTAATTGCTTTACACATGTTCATATTGGGATGCTACAAGCAGGGGGATAGATGAGGCATATAAAGGATAGAAAAGTTTTTTAATTAACTAAAATGTATATTTCTTACCTTTATATACAGTTGATTTTTTGCCTTGATGCATACAACATTATTAATCTGTCTAATATCGAACCTCCATTATCAAATGGTAAGACATGCCCCAGGCTCACTGTGATGAATAATATAGCTGAAAAAAAGAGAAACATAATGTTTTCAACACAAAGAATCAACAGATGATGTAGATGCTACAGTAAGAAGAAACACACATAAGTTCTTGAAGGTACACACAAATATGTTTAATAAATAATAAAAATTTTTTCCCTTTAAATTTCACAGTATTATGTGTTATTTGTATCCATCAGGGGCTAGCAGTTGATGGATTTCGTGTCTGTGCTAGCTCCCCATCTGCCTTAAATTTTTTATGCTATATTTACGTGAATGCAGATTTTTTGTAAGGCACTTAGAAAATGAATAAAGAAAGAGAAACTCCTATCCTATCCTATCCATTGTTCCCCTGGTATAAGCCTACCTTGAACACAAAATTGAGCGAATTTTGAAAGTGAACTTTCAAAAAAAAAATAGATCCTGTTTTTACAATTTTTAAGGATAGACAGTCAAAAAGCAATATTTCAGCACTGCATACTAATTCAAAGCCATCTTTTTTCTGTAAAGTATTATACAAGTAATTATCCAAATCATACAATGGCCTCAGGAAAATCTGGTACGTAATATTGGGCGTAAAATAGGGGATGGGTTTATAGCCGAACTGGCTTATTCCCAACGTCCCTAATTGGGTTAGTAATCAATTTAGGGTTTTTTTTTATAGAAAAAAGTTTGCAAATCTGAGTCAAATAATTGAAAGTTGATGATGTGTATGATCCTTTTAAATGAGCAATGCAAAGTTTTCATTGCAATTTTTATGGGTTTAAATGAAGAATTCTTAGGTCTGTTTTAATGATAATGCATTTATTCAATTCAACTTTCTTTATTCTTGATAACACACTTAATGCAAAGGCATTGGTTTTCTTCATGGTTTGAATAACAATATACATCATGTTTTTAAAGTAGCTAGTTCTTAACTGGAAATAATGAGCATTATAAATGGAAGAGTAGCATCAGGTTGAAAGCATAAGAAGTATTAGATAGGAAGATTATCATCAGCTTTAAAGTAAAAGGGCATCACAAATTAAGATTACCATCAGCTTTATACCTGCTGGATACTGCACTACAGTTTAAGTGGATTTTTCAAAGATACATGTTTTTGTGCAATGAGAAACACCTGATGATGACATAATTAATGTCAAAATATTGAATCCTGACACGATGGCGTGCATTTCGATGCTTGGAGTATACTATCTTATCTGAGATTAATAAGTGGACCTTTCGTAAAACCCCTAAATTTATTAAATTCTACTCATGTTTGTTGTAAATGCAAACATCATGAAATCCTTATCTCTGACTAGCTTTGGCATAGGACATAATATATAACTGAAGTAAACAATTTTGAAAACCTCAAAATTCTTAAATATAAGGTGCCTACATTGATCATTCCATACCAGTTGAAAATGTGAGCATGGACCATCCTTGTGCTGTTGATACACAATGACATGTTCATTATGTCATCACTATGTATATACGTGCATCTGACAATGGATATCATTATCTGAAAGCAACAACAAAGGCAAAAGAAGTATTGTTATGTCAGAATTTTTTCAGTTGGTTGGATATATTTTCATGGAGGGTGGGATTGAAAAGGAAGGGGTAAAAACTGTCCAAAACAGAGTCTGAAAATTTCCAGCTGAGGCCACTGGATCTAAGGGCAAAGCCCCCGTCTTGAGGAGAATGTGCCCCCCTGGGGCTAGAGAAAGCTGCTCTGTGATGTTTTAGATCGTGCTATACCCAAAAATTTTGAAAAAATTTCAATATTTTTTAGGTGGCCAACAGAGTGCTTTGCTACCTGTCAAAAAGAGGGCTTTTAAGCCCTGCCTATTACTGGCACCACTGCATCACTGGCTTTTTTATAGCCCCTTGGCCATATAAGATATTCAATAATTAAATAATTTTATAGCACTTTGATCAGAAATAATCACAATGCTAGTAGACTAAGTAATGAAGACTGGCTCACTAATAACAATACTCTGGTCATAAAGGGTGTGGTACAAGATTGTACATCACTTAGCTGCTACAGCTTGTGTTATTATTATATGACACAAACAACATATTTTGCATTGTGTGTTTTTTTTAGCTGGTCATCATTTTGACGAGCTTGCTATCTGTTGAGTTTAAGCCTCTTGATATATTTCTTAATGGAGATTCAGTTTTTGATGATTCAAAACTAGTTGATAAATGAAAATTTGAATATCTAAATGAAAAAAAAAATTGAGAAAAAAAATATGTTTTTGATATTTAATAATAATATGCCAAAGGCCTATATAAATATTTAACAATAATGCTAACAATAGAATAAATAAATAATCATAAAGGTCAGAGATTCCAAAGTGCTTAGAATTAATATTAACCCATGCATTGTTAAAAAAAAACGTAAATAGTTTGGAAAGGGAGAAGGAAAGAAATATGAAGGGTATTTTTTAACAACTGAACACAATTTATTTTTCATCTGATTTAACAAAAAAAATACGGAACTGAATAACACAAGCATTAAACTACAAAATAAAACATAAAAGGAAGCCAATGATGGGAGTGAGCCTACAGATGTGAATCACCACTTCTTAGATTCTTAACATATAATTCAAAATAGAAAAATACACAGTCTATGAACAATCCATGCAAAAATACATAAACTTATAGCCAGAGCAAGATTATAGAACATTTATGCTTCTATTAACTGATGAGATTCTTTTTTTTTTGTTCTAATTTCCAATGTAAAACTAATTGCATATTACTATACACAAAGCAATTCAAATACTGAATTATATATTATATCTTTGACTGTCTACCTTTAGGATCGTTGACCTTCTTCGTCGAATGTAAATGGATATCAAGAAATATCCATCAATATATGAAATTAAGTATACAGACTTTCATAATCATTTTAAATAGAAACGTCTGATTTAAATAATCTTTTCCATTACATACGCCTTAATATTAAACGAAGTTGGATTATCTTTTAGGGTGTGAGTCTTATTTCAAGTCAACTGATTTGACTTCAGTTTGAACTCCAGCCTAAGATTTTGCATAATAAAAATAAAAAGTCTGTTATAAGAATTATCGTAAAAAACCGTTTCTTGAGGCAATAGTTCACCTAATTGCAACATCAAACTCCCAGTAAACACACAATTTCTCCTTTCTTCCATTACAACAATAATTCAACGAGCAAAATATTAAAGAAACTAAGAGGCGTTTCATTGTAGCGTATTTGTGTATTTATCGGTTTATATTTCACTTGTTCATTTCTTTTGTTATGACCTATTTTATTCTCTAAGTCTCAAGTGTAAATAAAGATTAAATCTTTGATTGATTTGTGAATGGGACACGTCTCACGTTTCTTAGCTGTTTTGTGCGAATACAATTAAACTGGAGATAAACCTCTTTTTAATCAAAAACAATAACAGTACTTTTTTTTTATTCAATTTAAAGTCTTGCTTAATCTTTGGTAGTCAATAAACTTTGAAAAAGAAAACAGATGCCCTGGCCTATAGGGGTATTGAGGTAAAACCTTCAGTCCATGTAGCATTTCGGTACGTGTTAAGACTTTCCGGTATGAAGTTGGCAATGTGGCCGTGAGCCGTGATCTCTGCCTGGAGATATTCACACTTCTATTATGTAATTTTACCCATGAATGAAGGTATTTATATTTCACTTGTGAAACATTTTGAGAAAACGATTATTGCTCTTTAAGCAGTAATCACCTTTTCAAGTGAGTGGTTTTTTTAGGACTTGGAAGCCGATGGAGAGTGAAACTCACAAGTATTTAGTTAAACCAGGTGGTAAAAATACGCACACAGGGCCTAAATTAGTTACAGATTGAAATTTTACCAGTAGAGAGTTAAATTTTTCCTCCTGCAAAGTTTTTACAGGGTCAGGATAGGTGATGCTAGTAAAGAAAAACAATAATACCTTGAATTCCAATGTTGTTGTTAAGGACACTTGTAAGAGCTCTCCAAGTCATTATTAATTGCCTTTACCTAACATTCACTGATTAACAAGAACACCAAAAGAGGCCGGCCACCTTCAGCTAAAAAGAAGCAGCCAAAATTCTTTGAAAGTGACAGAAGCCTTGGTGTGGATTAAAGTAAAGAAAGCTTAAGGAGATGATAGATCTTTTATTGAATCATTTATTGTTTAGATTGATCTGTTAGCCAGACAAAAGCTATTTTTTCAGGAGTTAATGAGGGTTTTCTTCAAGATAAATAATACCCATAATAACTAATGGAAACGACATATTATTACATTCAGAATTAGTTAAAGACTAACTAGATTGAAAGTACTCAGGAAAGCACTCCAAAACAAGAGACTTAAACACCATCAATGACTTCCACTCTTTAAGTTCACTACAAATGCACCGGCAGAAATCAATACCGGTACAGTACACATTAGGAAGCCCTAATACTACTAATAATACCTACTAATAGAAGCTATGGTTTGTTGGTACGATGCTCTGCTTACTATCCCAGTGTTGTGGCTTCAAAGCCTGACAATTTTAAGATTTCTCTCACATAATTATCATTTCTTATTTTCATTAAAACAATGACTCATTTATTTGAATTTGAACTATTAACTTTATAGATGTACACAAAATAAAAAAATTAAATATAATATAGTAATTAACCATTAATAATTTTAGGGAAATAAAAATATATAACATAATATATTAATAATTATTACAAATAATGCAACGGTGGAAAAGTAAGTGAATTACAATTGCAATTTCTCAATTTAATATTTCCAAAGAAGTATATTTTCTCATTCATTTCACATATTTTTAAAACAATTTTCATCAATTATTTTGTTAATTAATTTTACTTATATAGGTGGCATGAAAAAACATTTGTACAGGTACCTTGATAACAAACTTTTGCTCTTGTAGCACGTGTCAATTCCAAACTCCTTAAGTAGGTAAACATCCGACACGAACGGTACCGAAAGACAGGCACGTTCATAAACAGATAATGACAGTTAGAACCTTAACAGCATGCCTATCAATAACACAAACATTCCAGTAAATTGTTGACTTTGTGCAGCAGTCAACCCCCTCATAAAAATTCCAATATTTATGATAGCTAGACCAAAAAAATTAAATAAGCCCTCCTGGGTCAACAATAAGAAATACAATACAAGTTGATGTCAGTCACAGTTGTATATTAGATGATGATGAGATTAGGATAAATAAAGTAAACACTAATTGATCTAATTAACTTAATTAACTGGACACCCGGGAATTTGTCATTTGAAGAAAAAAAACATGAATGAAGAATTTAGTTATCAATTGTTTGTATACTGCACATTATTTTACTATAAAATATTGTATTACAGTATATGCAAATCTATTTTATCGTGAGGCGAGATTTTTTAAACCTTTTTCACGAACTTTTTTAAAAGGTCGGAGGACAAAAACATCCAGATGGAGCACAAAATAAAAACAAAAGTTTTATTGGTGAATGTAAAACAGTGTAGTAATGGGATGGTTAAATGCTTTAAGTTTATATAATAATTAATTATGAAGAACATACAATCATATTTTTAGAGATATCAAGGCAGAGGCGGGCATAATAAAAATAAAAACTTTCATTTTTTTTCTGAAATTTCCATTTTTTCGTGGCGGTGGGTGAACTAATTGGCCAAAAATAAAATTTTAAAAAATAAAAAAAAAAGTTTCACCTTAAATTCTCTTAACAACTGTATACATCATTTTACGATATACTATTTTATCGTAAAATTTAAATGTATACAATTGAATTTTATGAAAAAAAGTATTGCATACTACACTACTTTATCTAAAATTCTGTTATCAATTGTATACATTATTTCAAGTACTTATTGTTATATATTTGAAATTTTGTTTTGTTAAGATGCACTATTTGTGTTGAGCTAAAAATGAGTTAAATTGAAACTTAGAATACAAAAAACATGCCCTTGATTGAAGATAAAATAAATACCGTATTTAATTGAAGAAACATTCTATACCAAAAAAAAAAATAAATAAAGAAATAAACATCTCCCTCAAATAAATGCTTCCCTCGAATAAACACCCCCTCAACCCTTCTCAACAATAAATGTCTTGGGGCATTTATTCAATTAAATACTGTAAATAATTAAATAAAGGTATAAAAAACTATATTTATATATTCCTATTGCATAGTCCCTTAAATTGACTGCTAATAAAATAAATAAACAATTTTGTAATTAACTATTTTTACAGTATAATTATATACTGTAATTTGATTTATAATTTCATCATGCAGATTCTATACTAACTCTTGGATAAATACAACAGACAAATAAAAGGAATTAATTTATTATAAAAAGATTGGGTTAATTCACTACTGACTATTTCTTGAAATGAAACTTGAGATTTCAGCTGCATGGGTCTCAAGAAAATGAATGATTGGAAGTCTGCATATTGCGGAACATGATTTCGCATAAACTGTTCCTCTTAAGTACGAAACTTGATCCCATAGTGGTCACTGCAGGGGTTCTTAAAAT